TAACTCCTCAAGGTCCGCAATTGCAAACTGAGCGGCCTAAACGACCTACACCAAGGCAGCGAGCATGTGCGAGACAAAATCGTTGAATACCTGAACAAGCTCATCGGTTGGGGCGTTGCTGGCTTTCGTGTCGACGCCTCGAAACACATGTGGCCGGCAGATCTACAGGTTAGGGGCCACTGCAGCTGATTGATTGGGTGAAATACGTTTATACTCTTTGTACAGACGATAATTGGTATGCTTTTGTTTTTGTTTTATTAATTTCCTCAGGAAATTTTTGGCCGCCTTGACAATCTTAGCACAACATTTTTTCCTGAAGGAACCAGACCCTTTGTACTCCAGGAAGTCATCGATTTCGGTAGGTATTTTTCTCATTCCCGATTTCTTGATTTGGAAAAAACGGACGCAAATAAAAGTCGGATGGGTGTATGGCTGCACAATGAAAAAGATATGTCAAATGATGCACAGATGATGAGCCTATCAAAGGAACCGACTACACCAACGTGGGTCGCGTGACGGAATTCCGGTATGGCAAGTTCCTGTGCCAGGATTTCCGAGGCATCAACCAGCTCAAATGGCTCCGGAACCTGCACGAGGCCTGGGACATGCTCGACCGACACAGCGCCGTCGTTTTCATCGATAACCACGACAACCAGCGAGGCCACGGCGCCGGCGGTGACGTCACGATAACCTTCCGTGATCCTAGACGATATAAAGTGAGCTTTTACATACGGAGTTCCGAGTTCAGCATTGTGAAATTGATATTAAAAGCTAATCAGTGTTATGTCCATCATATTTGATCACATTCGTTAAGAAAGCGTCGGCCACTAGATATAAATCAAACGATGCACAGCGAGCATTAATAAACACTGTCTGACGCGACGTAAAATTGTTATCACAGATGGCCAACGCCTTCATGCTAGCGTGGCCGTATGGCTTCACGCGCGTCATGTCGTCGTATCACTGGGACCAGAAGTGGGACGACGGGCGTGACACGAACGACTGGATGGGCCCGCCCCACGATGCCAACTTCAGCATCACTTCGCCCATCATCAACGCTGACAACAGCTGCGGGGGAGGCTGGGTCTGCGAGCACCGCTGGAGGCAGATCTACAACATGGTGGAGTTCCGAAATGTTGCTCACGGTGAGTCACTAATGCGGTCGGATGTTTCATGTCAGTGCTCAGGGGCGCTGTCTCCTGTTTGGACCGGTGACACATGGGAAAGTGTTTCCTTTGAAATGATAGTAATGATGATGATAGTAACCATGATCACGAAAATAAAAATAATGTCTAATGATGAAAGTAACGATAATTGTAATAAAACAAAGATAATTGTACCATTATGACCATGACAGTACTTTTACGTATAGATTTTTATTTGTAGCATTTGGGATTACATGTTTCTATCATAGGCACTGACATGAACGACTGGTGGGACAACGGCAGCAACCAGATCGCCTTCAGCCGAGGCAACAGGGGTTTCGTGGCCATCAACAACGACGAATACGACTTGAAACAAACGCTGCAGGCATGACGTGGCATAACTCAACCATACTACACTGATACACTGAAGCATAAGATATATTTAGCTTAACTCTATGGTCTTTTCAATGTAATATCAATGGTCATACTTAAATCAAATTTAAATTGTCCCGCCAAAGACGTGGGTACGTTACAATCCAACTGTTTTTGGACCAACCTGTGCAAAGTAATAAATGGCTGGGCGATGGGCGGGTGAAGCTTTGCCCGCTGTACTCATTTTAAGGTGTAAAGAGATACTTTTTAGTATAAGGGTGGATAAGAGAAGCTAAGGGTAGACAGCTATCAGATGATAAAAAAGGTGTAGGGTAAAATAGAAGAGGGGAGCTTGTCTTGCTTGCTGGATATATTAAGATTAAACCGGCGGGGAGGGCTGAGAAGGCGTTGTAATTATTGGAGTAATGAATTTTAAAAGAGGTAAGAGACAAAAAGCTGATGAAAAGTAGGCAGAGCATTCGCGCACACGAACTTTACTGAACTGGGTTGCCTGTAAAGCTATATGTGAGTCTCAGCGAATGATGTCTTTGCTTATCTAACTGAACTGAAGCTAAGGACTCTGTCTGAACCGATTTCTGGTGTCAATATCTAGCATAATTTATATGACAGAAACATTTCGATTTAAATTAACGCAGTTACAACTTATACATTATAAAGAATACGTCTCCGTTCGTGTTACAGATGCAAGACTTTTAAAAAGTTTTTTTTTTCTAAAATTTGCGAGCTGCATTATTCAACTTTCCCCATCCATTCTCACAGACGCGCCTTCCTGCTGGTACGTACTGTGACGTCATCTCTGGAAGTAAACAGGGAGAGTCGTGTACGGGCAAGACACTTACTGTGGGACCTGACGGCCGGGCCTACGTCGAAGTCCTCACAACTGCCTATGATGGAGTCATCGCTATTCATATCAACGTGTGTATATTTCACTTATTCCGGTTCCTTTCTTCTTTCTTCTCTCT